GCAATATGCTGACTCTGTAAACCGCTTAGAGAGGGCTGAAAGCCCTATGAAGCGGTATATAAGTCTAACTGCTATTGCTATTGCTATTTAAGGATGTTTTGAACTTTCTTAAGGCAGCGGGAGCTCTAAAGCTCTTCCAAAGAGGGGAGGGGGCAACCAATGACCCTCTGGGCAATGACGTTGACCCTCTGGAGGACTGTCCTATCTGCCCCTGTGCGATTGGCAAACCAGACACAGGCGCAGTAAGTTGAAATACTCTCCATGGTGCAGCAGAAGAAGGTCACCAGCAATTTTTCATTCATTTTTTGTTTCCTGAGAAGTCTCAGGTCGCCTCATCTCTGCTGGGCCCTTTTGACCAGAAGCAAAGTCAGCCAGGGGAAGATGGTGGGAATCAGGCCGGACCTTAAGGGGGGCCTTGCTAATTGACGGGGGAGGAAGGGGAGGAGACCTCCAGGTCTGTGGTTGGTCAGGAGAGATTCACCATCATGCATTCAAGGGAAGAAGACAACGGGGTGACGCTCGGGATGGGGAGCATCGAAGGGCCATCCGGGGAGGTCGCTCCACACCTTCTCCCCTTGCAGCTGGGCTGGGCACCCTGCCTGGTCAAGCCAGACCGGCTTTTGACTGACCACCTTGGAAGAGCCTTTCGGGGGGGGGGGGGCAAGACCCCAATGCAACTCTGGGGTCCCCCCAAAGGCGGGGAGAATTCCGGCACCAAAGGAAAACCCCGACTCCCCATCCAATGGGGGGCAAACAAAGAGGGTGGGGGCCTTCTAGGCTCTTCGCTTTAAAGCATGCAGACCCCATAAATCCCCCCCTTCCCACCCCCCTTGGCTCCTGCCTGCCTGGGATGATGATGGGAGGGGGATTGAGGGGCCCCTCCCTCCAGCAGAGGGTCCAGGGAGGAGGCGCAGCTGCCCTAGCAACAGCATCCCCAGAGCCAAGACCCCCCCCCTGCACCCCCCCCGCAAGCTGGGTCCCCTCTTAGAAGGGGGGGGGGAGTTGAGGGCTTTAGGAGGAGGAGGAAGCCCCCCTCCCCTCCCCCCACGGGATCCCCCCCCCCCTCCCTACCTCCAGGTCCACCCAGACGATCCTCTGGCCCATCAGGCCGGCCGCCTCGGCCATGGCTCGCCTCCCGCCGCGCCCCGGGACGCCGCCTCCGCAGAGCCGCAGCCAGCCGCGGGCGCTTCCGCAGACGGCGCGCATCCCCCGCCGGACTCCCCGGAGACTACGACTCCCGGCAGGCAGCGCGACCCGGCCCCGCCTCCTCCCCGCCCGACGCCCGTTCCAGCCCTGCCGCAAGGGCTGCCGGGAGACCGAGTCCCGGAACTGACCCCTACGCCAGGCGGCCTCGCCGCGCCAGGCATGCTGGGAAGCGTAGTCCTCTCTGACTCTCTGTAAGGAAGGCGGAAGCATCCGCGTTGGAGGTCGGAGGGCCACCCGGGACCCCGGACTGGCTTCCCAGGGGCCGGAGCGCCAGGTCCTCCACCCTGCTGGGGAAGGAGGAAATGGGCAGCTGGCTTGACCACTCCAGCAACTACCCCCCACTCCATGGGCTGCTCTGGGGCATGTTGATTTGCCTGCCAAGGGTTTGGGGGGGGGGGGATTCGAACCACCGAACTGCCCACCCTTCTGATCGTGAAATTCAGTGTCTTAGCCACCGCGTCCCTAGACGGTCATTAGCAATCTTAATAAATTCAATTTTTTGAGTAAGAATTAAATTCCCAGGGGAAAGAAACGGCAGAAGCAGAAAATGCAACGTATCACTGAAGAGAAAGAGCAGAGGGGGCAGGTTAATATCCACCCCAAGCAAGATTTGGGCATCCGGAGTATGCAGCCCCTCTTGAGGGGGGCAGATCAATTCTGTCAGATCCTCTCCAGGAATTTAGATTTTAGGGAAACGGGGAAATTAAGATACAGAAACCAGGCAGGCGTTTTCAGGCAGGTGTACATAGCTGACCCCATATGAGAGGCAAAATACATTTGGAAAACTGAAAAGAACCACCAGCAACGAATGTAGACCTCAGGAAATTTTGTTTCCACACAAAGACTTTTTACCAGAAAGGAGTTTATTTATTTTTTTGCCATTATATACATATACATAAGCCTAAGGAAGGGCACGTTTAATACTCTCAACGAGATTTCCTGGAAAATTGTCAGAAATGAAATTTAGGGGCTTTTTTAAATTTATGGCATCATCAAAATCATGGTCATTGAAATACTAGTAGAAAACGTTTCTTGCATATGAACAATGTCGTCAACATTAATATTAACAAAAATCAACCCCTTCAGGCATGCAGGGTAAACCAAGGCTTAAAAACTATCTCCTCAAAACAAAAAAGAAAGCAAAGCAAAGCGAAGCAGCAGGAAAAAAACACTAGATCTGTTCTTTCAAGGAATTCTGTTTGGTAGAAAACATAATAGTGATCTTGGGACTGTAGAAGAAGTGGGAAAAGAGATTAAGGTGAACCAGGTTACAGATGCTGCTTCTTCCCTAAAATTCGCTCCAAGTGAAACATACACCAACTTTGCCAATGCGGGATGGGTACGAACGCAAAGCAGCAATTTGAAACACAATCCCATGTTTCAGGTGTGCCCGGAAAACACAAACACTAATTACTACTCCAAGGGCTAATGTTTTTAAAGGGGGCACTGGAGATGCCCACGGAAGCCGAGAGAAAGCTAGGCCTGCTAGTTTCTTATAATTAAAAGTGCTCCCAGGCAAACACCTTTCCCCAAGTGCCAAATCCAAGATTTTTTCAGAATACAAAGAGCTACAGTTGCATGCGGTGATGGCACTTCAGGCGCGAAAGCCAGGAAGGAAGGGGGTGGGTGGGTGGGTAGCGTGGAGATCGTAGCCCACCCGGGGGACTGAAAAGCACGATTTGACTCTCCAGTTACTGAGCATTTTGAGGTCTCATCAGGAACCAGTCATTTTATGAGGAAATGTTTCATTACAAGCTTGCAATGGGTGCACATTCTCATCAATACTTACCTCTTTCTCGTTTCATTTAAATATCGGCTTTCTAACTTTACGTAAATGAGAAATTTCTATGTGTTTTATGAAAGAATTTGAATTATTTTCCCATACGTTGAGTGGGGCAGAGAGGCATGCAATAATTTCCTGAGAAGTGGTAATCACTTAAAGATACTGCAGTGTCTCCTTGATATAAAAACCGTGAGATCAGATCAGCTAAAAAAAAACCCCATTGAGCCAGCATAGAGAACCCATCCTTCATTACCGATTATCAAATTCTCGGGTAAATTTGCTCTATTTCTAGATCCCACGAAGCGAAACACTTAATACAATGAATATTCAAATAACTTCATTCCCGTAGCGAGAGAGTTTTACCCAAATGATCAACGGCCACCAAACTTTCTCCTCCCCGTTGCCTTTTCCCAGCAACACCAGAACCACCTCAGGGGTTCTTGCTATAAAAATACCAACGTTGGTTTCAAATAAAATCAAAGCAGAACTTTTTTTTCCCCCTTATAAAATAAACACAATGTCTTCTTTTCTCTACCTGTTTAAAAGTGTGGCACTTCTTCCTTTCCCTTTGCTTAAACCCTGAGGGGAAGTTAATACAATTCCAAAAACTCTTTTCTCTCAAAATACATACTGCAGATGATATGTATAAAACTTGTTTTTTTTTTCTCTTTTTAAAAAGATAACTTGCGAAGTTACCGTCTACAAGCTCTCTGTAAAAGGGAAGGAAGGAAGCTTTAAAAAGGGAAAGGACCGTCAAGAAGGAAAGTCCATAAAATCCACTCTGAATACTTGCTAGTGACGGGCAGGGGCGCCATTCCCCCGTCCCGGTAACTCCGCCTGTCGTAATTCAGCTCCTGCCTCCATAGTTCCTGTCATCGTGGTAATGGTCTTCCCGGTTCCCCCGGAAGCTGTAATTTGAGACGCAGTCCGCAAGCCGCCTCTGGTCCTGGTCATGGTGCCTGTGGCCAGACTGGTAGGGGTGGGAGCTCACTCTGCCCTTGTGGGGAGGCTCCGAGCGCCAGTGCGCTGGGGAGGCCGAGGACCAGGAGTAGCCCTGCTGGCCTCCAGGCGAAGGCTCGGGAAGCAAAGAGTTGTATCTTCTGCCATACGATGGGGCCTGCTGCCATGGTGAAGTTATCTGCATAGGGAGGCAAGAGGCCTAGATCAGCAGGAGTCTCCAGCAAGAGGGGCGAGGAGAGGAGGGCTCCCGCTCCCAAGAAGAATTCCCACGGCAGGCGCAGGCCGAACCCACGTGTCCACCACCCCCCTCCTCCTCCCAGCTGAGGATGGCAGGAAGGCTACTCAGCCCTCAACTGCGGCCCAGTTGTGAAAGTGCAGAGGTGGAACTATAGTCTGCTAAGCCAAAGAGGGCAGAAGGAAACGTCCTTCCTGTTTTGAATCTCTCATAGATCTACAGCAGGAGTCTCCAAATTGGGGCTTGGCTGGCGGAGGAATTTTGGGAGTTGAAGTCCACTAAAGTCCTAAAAGTTGCCAAGTTTGGAGATCCCTGCTCTAGAGGGAACAAACACAAGGAGGAGGCCTGAGAAAGAAAGAAAGTTGCAGCAGGCAACGTAAAGACACAATATGGGCAATCAATATACACTCTGGGGTTTTTACTGCACTTGTGTATAAATGTGCACACAGAGTTCCACTGGAGCCATTGGTAAAATCTTTGGGAGGCAGTTATGAAGGAAGGAAGGAAGGAAGGAAGGAAGGAAGGAAGGAAGGAAGGAAGGAAGGAAGGAAGGAAGGAATCCTTGGCAGGTGAAAAAATAAGGCTTAGAAAAGCTGACGGAAGTGTCAAGTTTGAGGTTACTTCAGGTAACCGCAGCACGGAATAAACAGGGCTGATGTTGTAGAGGAAAAGGTAGGCTCCCATCCCATCTGTGAACCCTCAAGGGATCTGGCCTGTTCTCTTCCAAACCTCACTGGGCGGGACCACTCACCATGGCCTTTGTCTGATGGTTATCAAGAGGGGAGAAGGACCTCTGGCCAGCTGGCATATTCTCGGCATTCCTCTCGAACCTTTTATGCCAAAAGCAGAAATTAGCTGTAGTAATCTTAATAAAGTTGGCCTTCAATTTTATTTTTCCAAGGAACCACATTTCATATATTTGTAAACTCAGCGTATGTAAAGCAGCTCTTTAAAGAAAATTATAATTAACCAGTTTCACAACGGGCACATTTATCAAATGCCTCAGATCTAGTAGCGATTTCAAATCATGGATCACAATGCATGAAACGTATTCAGAACACGTGGATATTCTTTTAATAAGTGGCTTTGAAATATTTTTTAAATAACACGCAACTTCTCCATTTTAGTGCTGTCGTTTCATGAATTTCATTTCCCACCCTCACTAGACTAACGCAAATTATGCCAGTTTAAAAGCCACCAGAGAAGTCCTCCCAAGCCTACCTGTTGCTGTGTCCCGCTGCCAGAAGCTGAGGACTGGAGGGATTTCCGTTTGCAAATCCATGTGGGGCACAGGGCGAGGAGACCTCTTGAGACGCATGGCTGCTCCCTGAAAGACATTTTGGAAGGCAAATTAAAGCAAAAGAGACTCTTGAGGGAGGCAAACTGTGAGATGCCAGCAGCCAAGATGGAGCAATTAACTGGCTCTGAAGTATCACACCAGAGAACGACTACAGCACACAAGCAGATTTCCACAACAAATGCTGCAACCTTCTGAAATACCCAGTAGGTGACAATGCAAACATAATGCAACACTAAAGACACCGGAGCCCAAGTTAATTGCAATCTCAAGTCAGGTGAAAATGAACCATCTTGAGCTGGGGAAAAAAAAATAAAGGCATTCTTTCACAAATACAACAGCCCCCTTCCACAAAAGTTTAATTTCGCATTTTTCTTTAAAGTAGAAGTGAGATTTAAAGTGTATTGACACACTGAAACCAAGACTCCAGAATTCACTTCACCAACGGGGCTGAATTGGGAATACATTTGTTTAAAGTGGAATGTTTTGTGGCAGCAGCAGATTGTATTTCACAACTGAACAATCCAAAATGCACACAGCATTCAGTGAAACAGAACAGCTGTTTGTAGCACAATGATTTGAGGATCTTTATCATATTTAGATGCACCACGTATTTAAATATAAAATTAGCTAAAATTTAGACTAGCCCAGCGATGGATCTCAAGCACTGACAAACCATCCTCTTCTCAGAAGAATTAGTTCATGTTAATATACACACAATGCAATGTCAATGTTATCGTATCTTCTACCTAAAGTATGGCAAATGGTTTAATCCAGAATGGTTACACACAGCAATTTGCTTTCATGGTTTACACACTAGAGCTGGAAGGGAAGTGATAAAATCTTTCTACTTTGCCAAGATCATCTAGGCCACTTAAAACGTTTCACGGATACCTGATCGGAACTGAATTTTGAGTGGTCTCCCAAAAAGTTTGATCCCATTAAGCAGACTCATGCCATAGGGAACAGATTCTTCGTGTTTGAAATTCACAAATGCAAACTGTTTTTGTTTCCCATCCCTGTCCTTCGGGATCTTTACTTTAATGACTGGGCCTGCCTGCAAACCAAGAAACAAAACAAAACGTTAAATAAAAAAACAGACCGTTCTCTTTCCTGACATGCATGTCGCTCAACACTTTCAAAGAAACCTGCGAAGGGGGGGGGGGCAGTGCTGGGCAATCAAACCGAAGCTATTGCTATGGGGAGAGTGCGAGGTCCCTTCCAGCCCTTTTAATCCGTGGGGCCGTCCAATTTCGACTCCATTTCCTTCCCCCAACCCCCCAAAAGAAGCCAGCCTGGCCTGAACAAAACAAATCAAAGTATTGATTAGTGTTAATTTTAATTCTTTTTTAAAAAATGTGTCGTTGTTAATTTTAATTGGGTTTGGGGATATCCTATTTAATTTCTTT